CTCATCATGCAAATGAGTGTATGTTAAAACAATGGATAGAGAGAAATTCTCAACTCGATCTCCCTCTACGATTGCTTGAAAACTGAACTCACAAGGCGAACCAAAGCAAAATAATTAGAGTGTTTATGGCGTTTTCACATAGCATGCTAAATCAGTCGCAAGAAAGGCATCACAGGTGAGCGATGCTTTGAAAATGCACAAATCTGCATCATTTTCCGGACAACCCATTAGTAGTATCAGAATAATTAGATATGGAATAAATATATTTGAGAAAGGTATTTAGCATACTTCACTCTATCGGTCTTGTTCCAGAGTTCTAAGGAAACACAGCTCAATACTGTCTTCGATGCGCTGCCATAGAAGCAAAACAGTTTGAATGCTCGTAAGAGCACGCTAAAAACAGCGCGAAGGTGTGACTGGCATGCGAAGCGGTCTGCATTTGAAAATAAGGATGTACAGCGAGCCAAGCTATGTATGAACTTGTCCAGCCAAAATGACGTCCGTTGCGAACTTCGCTTTCTCAAAATGCCACCAAGAAGTTTGAGGTTATTGCTAAGGCCGCATGTTCGCTGTTATCTCGATAAAAATGCTCAATGGTTAGTCCATGTCCCATTAGCCGACCTTAAAATTATAGTCCCATTGTTAGAATGGATACTAAGAAAATTTTATGGAGTACTGACTCATCTCTTGCAAGAGAAATAAAAAGTGATTGTTGTCATTCGAAATGAGATAGATACATACCGGTGAATGTACCTCAAAATATTCGAAGTCTGTTTACAATATCTGCTGACCATTTCTCTGAAAACATGGTTTTCTGTATAACTTTTGAGGACGGTTATCAAAATTATTGCAGGGAGAAAATAAAAAGAGTATACGAAGACAACAACTGGGTAAACATTATCAGCCACTGGAAGAGATCGGTCTATGTATGAGTGGTATCTAGGTAAACACGCCTCGTTGGTTTGATTCGTGATCCAACGAGGATGTCCACTCGAAAACTACACAAGGTGACCCAATATCATGTGAAGAAGATTGCATATAAAAGGAACGTGATTATAAACTATGCCTTGTTGGTATATGTAGATGTCATGGTGTTTACAAGAACGGGTTTTCTAAATCTTTTCTTGTAGTCATAGAAGCGGCTCTAGTAAAGCTACAAGCATTGCGATGAAAATTACTCAGAACTTTGTATTAGGTTGCCAAAAACTACGCTAAAAAATCCAAAACAGCCACTGTCATAGGTTTTCGACTTCCTCTTTCTATATAAGTGGAGTTTGTGTTGTTCGAGCTTTTTTGAAAGGTTGTAATTTTTTGAAAAAATTGCCAAAAAATTAGTTTCTCTAAGAGATTGATATTTTGACCTTTTTTCGCAAAAATCATAACTTTTAAAGAAGAGCTTCACCAGGATAAAGTTTGCTCATTTAGAAAGAGAAGGTCAGAAAACTTATAACATTGGTTCTTTTGAATTTTATTGCACAATTTTCGAATTTTTAACGGGCTTGCCTCAAATCGTCGAACCTCGAAAAATCTCCTAATTCGTTTTTTTTATCTTTTCAATTAAAGCATAGAAAGAAGTGGAAAAGGTGTGATTAGAAAGAGCATGATTTACCCTTGCTTAAATCAATGGCAAGCGGGAAAATTACGATAAAAATAACTTACGATTTTTCGAAAATGGTGCGACAGAACTTTCGGACCAGCCTATTAGAAAAACAACATGCACCACCAGAAACTATTAGAAATACTCCTTGCTTTTTACGTGCTATAAAAAATTATTTTCAGGAATAGTGATGAGGAGTAGAATAGATGCCTTACATTACAACATTAATTCCCGTACTTCTATTCAAAAAATTTTTTTTTTAGAATTGGCTAAGAAGAGGTAGGTAGAGAAGAAGATAGAGATTACAGGTCACAGTGAATGGGAAACTGTGTCATCGCTTTACAAGAGAACAAAAGCGAATTGCACCAATTTTCGTATTTACAGTCTCCTAGTTTTCTACTGTTTGCAATGTGAAATTGGAGCATGTCCACAAAGTTACTCCAGTTTCGCTGTCCATGCGGAAAAATTCGCTTCAACAAACATGATGTTTTTTCCATTGTAGAGAGGAAAAGGATCTACTGAGAAGTTGCGATAGTAGTGGCTAGCAGAGGGACAAGCTAGGCTGATTACTTTCACTGTTCTCCATTGTTACACAGCTCTACCCTTACACACAATATGCTTGAGGGATCGAGGGAGTCATAGTATGGAAAAATGCCCTACTTTTAAACTTGCAGTTAAAAGATATTAGTTTGACACATCGTACACCTTTCAAGAATGCATAGAAATTTAATGGAAATCTTCTGATATGATAAAGGTTGAGTGAAGAAAATCTTGCTTTTCCTATTAGTGCTTAAAGCAAATATTCTTGTCACATTGCGGCTGTAAAACCTGATAAAAACCCAAATCGTATTCTTCTAATTCCGGTCATCAAAGATGCTATAAACCCAACAACTACTCCTAATTTGACCATTTTTTTTGTTTTGTGGTCTACTTTTCAAACAAATTCTGAGACGGTTGTCTTTGCAAAGTTGTAATTTGGAATTTCTCCAGAATTTCAATTTTCTTGATAAGACTTCGGATGTTACAAGAAAAACACTACACATTATTATGCTATTATGTTACCCACATAAAAAAGCATACAAACGGTCATCGTCATCTGAACTTTGCACAAATTTCTTAGTGTTCGATGCAAGACTTATGTTACGAGTTAGCATTTTCAGACATATAACACTTAGTGCACTCTCGAAAATATATACCAAATAATAGCATTTGGAAGAGAGAACATACATATAAGAGACTCAATTATATAAATGGAATATTTTTGTCTTTACATGAGACAATTTGCGTATGTCTGGATAGATGAAACTTTTATCTGTCTGCGCTATTTTAACTTTGTCTAAACAAAGTTGCAGGCGTTTTTCTCATGTGTTGCTTGCATGGATGTGAGAAAAAATCTTTGTGATAAGTTAGTAAGCAAGCACAGTCACCTCTACTTCAAAAGGCCATGTTTTTTGCTGTACTGAGTTCTTTCGAAAAATGTGTGATCGTAATCTAGGCTACTCATAGCATAAAAGCTCCAAAGAGAGCTCTTAGACTTCGAATTTGCTTCAAAAACGCAGAACAGGTCTCGGTCGAGCGTTTTCAGCCGCTTATTGTTAGTATCCTTTAAGTGCGAGGATTGTCTCAGTTTGAAGTAAGATCAGCTAACAATCTTCTCAACTGCTAGAAATTCTGGCAAAAACTTTTTGCCCTCTGTTTACTTCTGCCACCGATACACAGAATTTATAACGCTAGTAAAGGTACTCATGAGTCGTAAAATCATGAGTTTCTACTACACAGAAATCTAATGTTATTATTATACATGTAGTTGGAAGTGCCGTGCAGGTACGGTAACATATAAGTGTTCGTGCTTACTGAACTAGCAGAATTGCTGGTCCGGATGTATAATTCCGTCTGTTTACAGCTATTTTGCATGTTGTGCGGAAGTGGAACAGCTTAATCGCTGCTACGGCTACACACCCAGACTGTAAAAATGCTGCGGTGTTATGCTATTTTAGTTTCCGTAATCGCTTATTTTGATAGTAGAGACATGTGACCAAGTATCTGGGGCGAAAGAGCTGAAGCTATACATTTCTTTTTTTGGAGGCTTGCTTTGCTCAGAAAACATCAGCAGCACCTCCTGGGGTTATAGAAATAGAAGCAGATAACATTAAAGATAGTTGCTTTGAAATCCGCAGGGACTTGCCAAGAAGTTAAAAACTATGGTTCTTTGCGCTTACCAGTTCGTGACTTGTGCTCTCTCCAGGGACTATTGTTCATGCGAGGAATGACGCAAAAGTAGAGAGTTTCAATCAACGAAAATGTCAGAGGCGAAATTGGAGGATAGATTGAAGAAGACAAGGTGCGCTGCTTTGTGGTTGTGTTGAATCTCAGGGAAACTCTAGAATAACATGGTGGTATCGTCAAATCGATTTACCTTTTCGTTGAACCGTTCTTTCTGGCGCACTTTTCTTGTAAAATTAATAAGTAATTATGTAAAGACACACATCACAAAGAGACCTACATGTTAAACTAAGTTATAAATATCAGCGCATTCTATACAGCGCTATAAGATTATGTGTTATACAGCTACAGACCTACCAACCGAGCACTTCTCTAAATTCGTCTTCAGGAAGACTGACAGCTAATGGGAACTGGAATGTCACTAGGCTAACTTCATCACCAACAACTTGGTCAACCCCATCTCTCTTAAATAACATTCATGAGATTTTGCTGACTTGTGAAATGACGTTGTACAGAGGAACCCTCATTTCTAACGAAAATTCTACAATTTTGGATTGAATGCGCAAAAAAAGAAATGCGCTGATCTCGTTCTGAGCGCAGGTATACCGAAATATGGAATTCAGTTGGAGTTAATGCATGCGATGATTAAGAATCCGCAATTTTTTTCTCTAATCTCAATTCCACCAACTCAGTTATGGCTGACGCTGCCCACAGAATACCCAAACAAGAGGCTACATTTTGTGGAGAATCTGTCTCATTAATTCTGAAAATTTTTCTACTAATTTACACAACAGCTCGAGAGCTGACTCAGCAACAACTGACTCGAGTGCAAGAGAATGAGAATTTTGGCGTTTTTAGCAGGGCTGGAATTCTGCAGATAGGGGAAATGATTCACTATGTCACCACAAAATGAAAATTTTGATATCTGATTTCATGTTGATATATTGAACTACGAAGATGTAGTTCTAATCTGCATATGTTTTGGGTTCTGCTAATACTCAAACAGGTTTAATTAGCCTCGATAAACTTGCCACAAAAACTTACAACTTTTCAGGCAGGAAATGACAAATTAACTACCAGACTCAATTTCAAAGTTTTTTGACAAGCTATCATTGCAATTTCAACCAGTCTTACCTTTCATGCCATACACACTTTTCTGAGATAAACAGTATTTAATAGTCTTACAGACTTTATTCTAAAAATCCTAGTTACATGTACAAGATGACTAAGAAAATGTCTTGAATAATGGCAATTCAGTAACCATTTGGTAAACTTCTATGCACTTCGATGAGACAATATATACTCTATGTTACACTGAAATGAATATACAAAGTCTAAGTATCACCATATGAGAATAGCAGATTGTGAACAAAAGAAAATCATCATAGAGGAAGTGGAAACGCGAGTGCCTCTGATGCCACAACCAGTACTAATCAACCCTCATTGAAGTAGAGACTGCTCTATGATTAAAGCGAAATTTAGACAAAACATCGGTCACAGCACAGGCAATTATTGTAAATGCGATACAACAAAATGACTGGAACGTAGAATGTATATCAAATTAGCTTGAGAACATAAAACGAATCGGATCTGATTGCAAAAGGCAATGTAAGATATCTTAAGGCATAATCAATCAGTTGATGGCGCCACAGTGTACAGCAAAGAAATGACGGACTTCTTTTCAGCGTCACGCATCTGAAAGCAACCAACTTTTGACAAGATCACGAAGGAAACGGCTATACTTGGATTGTCTGCCCCGTTCATAGATCTCTGAGCAACGATTGAACATTTATCGATGAAGTGGGGGGGGGGGGGTAGGGTAAACGCATGAACTGCGCAAGTGAGTTTCCACAAGCATATAATCGAGATTACTCTCAAAATTTTAAACGAAGTGGCCCCATAAAAAGTTTTGTTGAGGGCTACGATGCTAGGCCCACCAGAATCTAATATATAAAGAATCGTAATCTTATATATAAAGCTGAATGTCTGTTTGTCTGTATGTCTGTCTGTATGTCTGTCTGTCTGTATGTCTGTGTGTACGTATGTTCCGAATAGAAAATTCCATTTCTGAACCGATCCGGACCAAACTTGGCACACACACACTTCGGGCCCCGGCGCGTGTCATAGGCTACTTTTCGTCATCGATCGATATCGATTTTATCGATTTTTTTGCTGAGTTCACCTACGGGGCTGGGAGTTGGCACAGGGGGGTAATCGAGCATGGGGATTCCGAATACAATATTGGTTTTCAGGATTATCGATTACTTTTATCGATTTTATCGATTTTTTTGCAAAGTTTGAGCTACGGGGCTGGGAGTTGGCACAGGGGGGTAATCGAGCATGGGGATTCCGAATGCAATATTGGTTTTCAGGACTATCGATTACTTTTATTGATTTTATCGATTTTTTTGCAAAGTTTGAGCTACGGGGCTGGGAGTTGGCACAGGGGGGTAATCGAGCATGGGGATTCCGAATACAATATTGGTTTTCGGGATTATCGATTACTTTTATCGATTTTATCGATTTCTTGCAAAGTTTGAGCTAGGGGGCTGGGAGTTGGCACAGGGGGGTAATCGAGCATGCTGATCATCCCCAAGGGGGGTGATCAGCATGCTCGATTACACCCCTGTGCCAAATTCCAGCCCCCTAGCTCAAATTTTCAAAAAATCGATAAAATCGATAAAAGTAATGGACGATCTTGAAAACTAATATTGTATTCGTAATCTGCATGCTCGATTAACCCCCTGTGCAAACTCCCAGCCCCGCAGGTCAAACTTTACAAAAAAATCGATAAAATCGATAAAAGTAATGGACGATCCTGAAAACTAATATTGTGTTCGTAATCAGCATGCTCGATTACCCTCCTATGCAAAATCCCAGCCTCGCATGTCAAAATTTACAAAAAATCGATAAAATCAAAAGTAACCGATAATTCTGAAAACTAATATTGTATTCGGAATCCCCATGCTCACTTCCCCCCCCTGTGCCAACTCCTAGCCCTGTAGGTGAACTCTGCGAAAAAATCGATAAAAATCGGTAAAATCGACATCGATCGATAACGAAAAGTGGACTGTGACACCCGCCGGGGCCCGAAGTGTATGTGTGCCAAGTTTGGTCCGGATACGGCGGAGCCGGGTAAGCCAGCTAGTCTAATATATAAAGAATCTAATATATAAAGAATCGTAAGCGCAATTCAAAAATGTGCACATAGCGGGAAACCACGTGGCGGTCCCGTAGCGCGCGCATGCTATAGCACCTTCAATTGCTGGTTCACTAGTCTTAGGAAGCATCCCGAAATTTTCCGAAAAGCGTAGCTATCGCCATACCCATTTTTTCCAAATTTGTAGCGTATCCGCCCTGGCAAAAAAATTCTACGGGCAGTCACTGTATGGATTATTTCGCCAGAAACATGTTATGCATAAATTGAAGAGACACTTAGAAAGCATGGAGAAAAAAGCGCGGTATCGGCAGCAAAAAATAGGAAATAAGATGAGAACAAATCCAGTTAATTCACATAAGGTTTTGAGACGGCGAAAATGGAACCAAATTCAAAGCGGAACAAACGGAAATTTACAAAGAGCCGCTATTCAATGTTTAATGAAAATGCAAAAATATAGGCAAAAGTTCTGAAATGGATGAAAAATAAGAAGAAAAGGCATGCTTGAATTCTGAGCTTAGGAAAATGTAACAGATTTCATAGTATCGAATATGAAAACAGAATTTGTAATCAAGTATTGGGCAATAATTCTGCAGTGAAAAGAGTAAGAAGTGATAAAGGTGGGTCAAAATGAAACAAAAAAAAACCGGAACACCTACATCACAAAGTTGAAGATCGCCTTCCAATTTTTTCACAGGGAATTCTGTCGCGTACACCGTGCTGTCATCATCTTTTGTGCTTACAGAATATGCAGTACTGTTTGCAGGAGCCTCGATTTCCGGAAGTGTTGTCAAATCTACAATCTAAGTCCATTATACCTGCTCGAATTATGATACAAGTAGTATCTCACCATTTTTCGAAGGAGTAACCTGCGAAGAGCTATGCCCGTTACTCTGGAATTCCAGGTTTCATGCAATAACACTAATAGATATTACTCTACTTCGCAATACAAAAAAAAATAAAAATGTTCAAACGAAATTGAGTCTTGCCTCATGCATACACTGGAGCATTGCCATTCGCGCAGCTTTGCACTCCCATAGGATACTGCTAAGAACAACGGAAATCTAAATTATCAATAAAGCGATGAAATGTCAGTCAGCAGGATATGTTACCTTCCCACTGGATCGAGGATACTTGGAGCTGATGCGCATTACAACAAATTGCTCGATATGTGCAATGGTCCCTTTTTCATCAACGAAAAGGTAAAATGACGGGAGCTCACGGGGAGGGACTAGTCGGGATGATGACTTGGGATTTCGGTTTGGACGAAGAATCACTGCTACTGATGGTGCTGACTGCCGATTAAGGTATAGATGATGGCGCTCCTGCAAGAAATGATGCAGAGAAATAACTTGACTCTAAGCAAACTGAAAGTTGAATGAAGACAATGAAAGCACAAAGTCCTACAAAGACTGTCATCGCACCCAGAAAGAAATTAGAAAAATCAGTTCCAGATCACTCCTACGAAATCATACACTATTTCTAGCTCCTGGCTATTAGCTTGAAAAAGCAAAAAAAAAGTGAGAAAAAAAGATATGAGACAATGATCTCGCCACAGAAAAAAAAACCTCACTAACAGCTGAAAAATCTTTGAAGTCTTCAGTATCTGATCCGTTGATTGAAGATTCTCCATTTGCTTCCTTTTCCAGAAAAATGTCCGCCTCAAAAAAGAAACTGATCTAATAAAAGAAAACACATTAAGATATGAACCTGACCTCGCAGTCTGCTTTCAAATGAGGCTCGCTTGACTTCGACTTCAAGTAAGCTGCTAGAGGCTTCTCATCACCAGAATCTCCTCCTGCTAAATCGCTGCTGGTATTATCCAATGGCTTCGATTTTGATCGTGACATTCGAGTAACTTTGGCAAGATTCTTCCGATACTCGGCCGTAATTCCAAACCGGTTGGGCTCTTTCCTCTCAATCGTCGGCCAAACATGATCTTTGTTGCACTAGATAACGTGCAAGGTGTTAAGGGTGATACCAAAGCAGATTTTAACGAACTCACCTCGAACAATTTATATTCAGCATCATACCCACATAGATCTCTTGCCCGTTTATCACGAAGCGGAGGGGGAACCTAGAAGAACTTGTAAATAGACATGAAAGATGCTAGTTGATTTTAAGACATGAAGGAAATGCTAACATGGTTGATGAGATTTCCATAAATTCGAAACGGTCGACGTTCTTCTGCATCAACACCATCATGCTCAGGGATCTTAGGCAACGTGACGGGAGGATCAGAATGTGGTAAACCCATCTTCTTCAGATAGCGCTGCACTAATACATTACTCCCACTAAATTTACGATCCCAGTAGAATGCTGAAAAAACATGTAAGTGAAAACTGCTGAAACTTATAGTGATCTACCGTGTTCAGCGGCAAGTGGATGGATTCGACAGTGGGGCGCATTCTTTTTTCTAATGATTTTTCGACGTTCCTCGGATACATTACACATGTCCATATATTCTTCATCACTTGCTAAAGACAAAAAACAAATTAGCAACAAAGTACATAGAAAATTTCAAGCTTACATGTAGAATGAGGTTTCCTTGCGCAAAGATCATGTACAGTTGTTAAGTCAAAACCTATCTAAAATGTGGAAATCTGTATATAGCGAAAGTAAGAAAGAGAAGAAAACAATTACTACACAAAATAGTACTGTAATACCTTGGCGATGATATCCTCAAAGTTCGAATCATGGCAAACAGGTTGGAGTGGATCAAGCTGCATGTTACATCGGGGGCATCGTAAATTACCTGCTGCTATCCTCGGATTCATACAACCTTCACAAAATCTGTGCATGCAAACCTGTAAGAAGACACTAGTGTTTGAAAGAATCCAAAGCTAATCTCAAAGGAACAATGTAAAGATGTAAATGTAAGGCTAGTGGAAGTCAAAATTTTACCGTGGTGGCTACGGGAACATTGCAGATGCGCTGACAAAGAATACAGGCGAAATCTCTAATCAAACATTTTTTGTCCATGGTTGCTAAAGGGTCTTCTGATGCCTTTCTTTTATGATTTGATTGTTGGGAATCTTGAACGGATGTACTAGATCCCTAAATGCAACAAACTCAAGTGGAATAAAACTGGGGATGCTTTAGAAAGTAGAACGAACTCACCCCTTCCTCACATAGCATTCTATTCCAGCCAATACTGTATCTAATAAGTTTATTTTACCTGCAAATTTTAATGAAAGAAAACAGAAACAAATAACTCATGAAGTGCGAACAAAACGCTACATAAACGAAAGCGATTGTAAGGGAAAAGCACACATTTCGCACAAAAGGTTCACAAAAAACCCGCACAATGAAAAGTTGCTATGGATAATAAAAATTTGTGAGAATTTGCCCTGAAAAAAGGCGCTGTTAAAATTCGATTACGGCGTCCGCAACTGCACACCAGCCCAATAATTTCCGTGAACGGCTGGTTTTGAAAAAGTTTGCGCATAGTTCATGATCCTTTTCTTACATTTTCGGTATAAATTTGTATTATTTAAGCTATGGGTAAAATCTCCAAGGATCAGCGGGATATCTACTATCGCTTGGCAAAAGAACAGGGATGGAGAGCTAGGAGTGCATTCAAATTATTGCAAATAGATGACGAGTTCAGAATTCTTGAAGGTACGGTTTGTAGTTATTCTGAATCATGCTTGAGCTTTTTAGCTAGGTGCTCTTGTCATAGCAAAATTTATGTGATTAGCATAATCGTTGTAGGTGTAACAAAAGCGGTCGACTTATGTGCTGCTCCTGGAAGCTGGAGCCAGGTTCGTCCACTCGGAAGCTCATTCATATCTCCAGACGCTGTTTCCAGGTGCTTTCGAAACGCTTGATTGAGAATGGGAAAGACCCGGAGAATGTACGAATTGTTGCAATTGACCTACAGCCAATGTCGCCTATTGATGGCGTAATACAGCTACAAGGAGATATCACAGATGTGAGAGTTTTATCTCGCTTTTTGGTGTTTCCCAACCACTGTGTCTGAACATCCTCAGTCATTGTTGTCCTTGATTTCCATCTTTTAGGGCGAGACAGCAAAGAAAGTTATAGAAATTTTTGGAACCCATGCTGATCTGGTAGTGTGCGATGGAGCTCCTGATGGTATCATAGATTCCATCACTTTTTGTAGACTTTTCGTGAACCCTTACAAAACTTTTAAGTCACCGGACTGCATTCACTGGATGAGTACATGCAGGCTCAGCTAGTTTTGGCTGCACTGAACATCACCACTCATATCCTCAAGCCTGGCGGAACTTTCGTGGCAAAGGTACTAATTTCCATCGAGTTCTGTTTTGTTGAAAACACTGCAAACGACCATGTTTTAGATCTTCCGGGCACGCAACGTTACTTTGCTATATGCACAGCTAAAAATGTTCTTCAAGGAAGTCTATTGTGCAAAGCCGAAAGCTAGCCGCCAGAGCAGTTGCGGTAATTTTTGATGTATTTTTTTCTGACCTTTTTCTTAACCGGGAGTTCTAAAAAATTATCTAAAAGAGTTGTTTTTTTTTACTTAGAGTACCTTTTGAACTTTGTCGCGCACTTCCCTTTGCAGCTTTGCCGTGCGAGAACACTTGCTGGGTCTTCTTTAAACGTAAAATTCGAACTGTCGACACAAGCCTTTTGAATTTCAACCGTGTTTTGATATGATTATGAAGTAAAGGTAGCAAATGCCAAAAAATTCGTACAATTTAGGAAGTGGGGTCTTCACGAGACATTTTGCGAGAAGAAATGAGCTTATCTTACCAGGCAAAAGCAGTGAGCCAAAATGTAGTAAGAGCTTAGTCACAGTGAATGCATGTATCGCATTCACAAAATCGTTTTCGAAAGTTGCGCCATTCGGTGCCACCCTGTCTGGTCAAAAAAGAGCAATCTCCTGTTATAGCAGAATTAGCTCGAATAACATGATCATCGATAATTGTTTACATCGAATCATTTACTCGATCTTTTCTTTTTTTTATTTCAGAGTCCTTTGTCGTTTGTCGACAGTATAGTCCTCCGGAAGGCTACGTGCCCACATTACATAAAGCAATGACCCTCCCGCATTATGGTAAGCTTTGGGATAAATTTGAGTGACTTAAAAATGCTGTCTCTGTACAGATGATGAACTGAACCAAGAAAATGGTCCTAATCGTATCCTGGTTCCTTTCGTTGCTTGCGGTGATCTCTCTGGATTTGACAGTGATGGATTTTACCCTTTGAAAGGGCCAGACATTCCTGTTGGACCTTTGGGAACAGAGTAAGTTTTTTGTTGTTGGTGCTGTTCAACTACCAAACCGGAGGTCAAAGTCATATGTTGCTTTATCTTCTTACTACTGCAATTCAGGTACGTCTTTCGTGATGTCGTTCAGCCACCAACCGAGCCAGCCTACAAGAAAGCGGTCGAGTTGAAGAAGAAGAATCAGCTAGTCAAACCGACGAGTAGTATACGTAGCGTGAGTGAAAATTGTTTCGTATGGCTTGTCGCATCGTGTTGGCCTCATAAAGCAAGCAGTTTTCCAATTAAAATTACTTTTTACGAAGAAGATCGGTGGAACTGGACAATGTACAAAAAGTTTTGAAAGGGCCGCGATTTTAATAGATTACAGTAGCAAGCTGTCAGGCAGTCTAGGGCCCAAAGACGGCACAGTATCGCTTTTAGAGCGAAAGAATGCTGCAGAAGTTTGGACGTAGTCGCTCCTCCACCATTCCCGTTCTACAGTCAGTATGGCGCCTTCCTTAATAAGGGAACGTTGGAAGAGGCTGCCTTCAGAAGGATATACCCGGGGTACAGTAAGACGGGAGATAGCGTTTGAGATTAGTAGGCATCTAATAATTTGATTCCGATCTTTCTCGACAAGGCATCTCTCAGATGTGATGTTGCTTTCTCAAAATGGCACCGTCTGTAACGTTTCTTGAATTATGGAGCTTTGGCTGTTATATAGTCTGTTCGTTGACCGCACGGATTGGGCATCACTGCGGAGCACGCGCCGCGAGGTAAAACGCTTGCTCCAGAACAAAATCGCCATTGTACAAGTCGTGCCCTCGCAACATTTCAGCCGCGCCGCGCGTGGTCCGCAGCGTTAGAGCAGTCCGTGTGGTCAACGAATCGACGATAGAAGCACAAGACATTACGTCATTGTGCAAATGAATAATCTCGATTTCAGATTGTAAAGAGTTTTGAGAAAATCAATCCGTATACAAAGGATGAAAACGCTGGTAACATTGGTTACGACGACGATTTGGTGGAATCGCTAGCAGACTTTCTGCAAATCAATGATTCTTGAAGTCGCATATATTGTCTCCGATATCTTTGATTACCAAGGCAGCTTTACAATTTAACATTTTTATCGGTTTGGCCCTCTCTCGTCATATGCCGTACTCTTTGCATTTCAAGATTTACGTCTAAAATTTTCTTGGGGCGGAGCTTGTTACGCTTCCCTTTTTTGCCCCTCCGAAAATTCGAAAGGTTCAGTATGTTTCGGGGGCAGTGCCTGTGCTCCACACAAACACCGTTTCAAAAAGACGTGCTCTTCCCCCTCCCCCAGAAACTTTCCCGAATAGCCACTGATACATACACTAGCCAATCTACCCGACTCCGCTCAACACTGTCAAAATGTTTAAGGTCACCATCCCTGTTCCTTTACAACCTTTCCCTGTGCCCACTTCTACATACCAATTCCCTATCACTTTGTCTTCGTAAACAGCATGCCTACTTACCTCCCTGTGCCAACTCCCGGCTCCATAGTTCAAACTTTGCAAAAAAATTGATAGGATAAAAAAAAAGATACTCCTAAAAGCTAATGTGTATTCAAAGTGAGCAGTGTAGCTTACCCCCTTGTGCCAACTGCCCAGTAGCTCTTAATTTGAAAAACGATGAACTCAATGAGAGTAATCGAAAATTTTGAAAACTATTATTCGTAATCATCATGCTCACTTACCCCCTTGCGCCAACTCCCAGCCCCGTATGTAGCACTTTGTAAAAAAATTGATAAAATCGATGTCGATCGACAACGAAAAGTAGCCTACAACACCGGCCCCGCCCCGAAGTGCATGTGTGCAAAGCTTGGTCAGAATCGGTTTAGAAATGGAATTTTTTATTCGGAACATACACACAGACAGACATACAGACAGTCAGACAGACAAAACATTCAGCTTAATGTGTAGGATATATATGTATACAGGGTGTCCCAAAAGTAAGTACACACCTATTAATCGTTAGTAACTCTCTTCCCACTATGTCTTTTCCTTAGCTTTGAGTACCATTTAGTAGAGGCTTCAGCTTAGATTCAATGTATGAAGCATATCTTCCAATCTCTTTTAATATGGGATTACGGTAGGAACTTCGAAGAGGATTTTGATACAATAGTGGATACATACTGTCTCGGAATAAATACTCAACGAGCCGAAAACTCAGGCTAAACTGAGTCGCTGATTACTAATTTAAAATTCGCACTTTGCCTTGAGGCTTTTTTCACAGGATAAGGCAAGTAAACCGCAACAACGTTTTTCGGTGTTATTCAACAATGGAGTGAAATGACTTACATCAGCATGTCCAAAAATACTGCTACATAACTTTCCAGATCTTTCTAAAATTTCTTTCAACGGCCTATCTCACTGTCGCGCTGTATGATGGAAGTTCTTACCGTAATCCTACAGTAACGAAAAGGATGGGTGATTCGCTCCGTACCGCAAATTCAAGTTGAAGTCTGCTCTGTCGGACGGTTTCTGAAGGCTAAGCAGATGACTTTATGGAAAGAGAGTTATTAACATTCAAAAAGTTTGTACTTACTTCTGGGACACTCTGTATATGCACACATACCACTGGAGGTCCCAGGATTTCCGCTTGAGGAAAGGGAGGGGGGCGTCAAAAATTCCCGATTGAGGGTACGTGGCCATAGCCATGCCTTTTGAAGATTTTTGCGATGCTTCCCAGCGCGGAGAGTTAGGGGTTAGGCTGCGTGCATACATCCGGAAGTTCGGGCACAGTTCCAGCACAGTGCTCACTTTGCTCACGTTGTTCTGGAACTGTTCCCAAACATCCGGATGAGTATGAACGCAGCCTTAGCGCTGCATGTGCTCACCCTTGAAGACAGCCAAGAGATTGAGCAGGGAGCAGACAAGCACACAAGTGACGCAGAACCCTAGCGACGCGCGGACTCCTGCCATGCCAATTTTGGCTTGATTGAAATTGGGACAGACTGTATACACATCCTCGCCTGTTACATAAAATAGAAATGCCTGCGCAGGTGCTGCGTCGTGATCAGCCTGCTGACTTACCATCTGTACCAGCTCCCAAAATCGATGACAATCGATAGTTCTGAAGGTAAATGTTGTATTTGTGCAGCATCCTCCCTATCATCCCAGCGCCCTAAAGTTTGCTGGAAATTAAGACGTGGATCGATGAAAACTAGCCTTGGCTTCGGACTTCCCCGAAATATTTGTGCGCAAAATTTGGTTCAAAGTAAATAGAAAGTCGCATACAAAATACATTTGTACGTGCATCCTCTACTTCATCTATAAAATTCACGAGCCATTCTTGGCCGAAAGCGAAATTAAGCTTTTTTCCAATGTCCATTTCTTTTTTCCTTACTGCAGGTAAAAAATGATGTAAGTCTTTTTTTTTTCAAGGCTTCTGCTGTGTAAGGCCAGTCATTGATCTTGTCTGTTATATCTCATGGCATTGCATGTTTATTCATATTCCTTTATACCTTGCACTTTTATGGAGCTTCTTGTTGATGTTTTCACTCCTTGTTGCTATTAGGAGCAGATTATGGGCTCTGTTTTTCTACTTTTTTGGGTGTATAAAATTTTCTTTGTGATGTTTGTGTAGATTCGTGGAATGTAGGAGAGAAATGCCAGAGGGTGGGAATGGGTATTTCTTTGTTTCATTAATTACATAAATCTCAGAAGGTATTAATTGCTATTACTTGCTCGACGACACGGCTTACATATCTTACGAAAGATTTATTGTTGGCAGTTTGATGGAATGATATTGATAGCATGCATATGCATTGAGAGCTGCCCTTCCTCCACGTACTTCAATTCAGCAAAACCGAGGGCTTTTGTGATAAAAGAAGAGGAAAGTCGAGTGTGAGTCTATAATGGAACCATTGTCCGAACATGCTCAAGTTGAAATGAAACGCGAAGGTCTTTATTAGATTGGATCTATATTTGAGCTCCTTCACAGTCACAGAATTTATCGGTTATTCTATCAAATATCTCTAAGAGGTTTTTGTTAAGAAACATCGAATGCGCAGTGAGGAATATATGGGAGTGGACCTAAGGTGAATTCTCAATAGAGTAAACAATTTTTCTAGCCTGGTAAAGATTTATTGCAGTTGCTAGCAGCGTAATTAGAAGCTCCATTTTGTTCTAGAAATCAAGAATTTCTATTTCAAGCTGCCCCCTAAAAAGAATGCAATTTACCTTTTTTTCACGGGTTGATCTATATGATCTCGCAATGCAGAAACACCTTCCCTTTCCAACGAGTTAGCATTGTAAATTCCAAATTGCTAGAATGAAAAGGCAATATACCAGCGGCAGTCGTAAACCATGCAGAAAAAGAAACGTGTAAATTAGCTGCGGAAAGGTCGTGTATAGTTGATGCTTCAAAAATTGATGTAAATCCACTTTACACTGAGCTGGACTAGGCATGTTTATTAGTCCGTATTTCTCCCTTTACAACAAGGATAAATTTCTGAGGACCATCTTTTTCTCTCTACTAGTTGCTATCTATGATCGGTCATTTACCTGAAATCATGAAATCAAATCTTACAAACAGCAATGCATAGTTTAGATTTTCAATCCAGCTACAGTCAGCATTGCTTTCTGCCCTAGAATTGTGTATGAATTTTGATAGAATATTTAAAAAAATTGCAAAATCCATTGCTTATAACAATCAAGGGATTTTTCTACATTATAGCGAAAATAATGCATCGATAAATTAACAGCGCTCAAGTTCACAACAGTTTTTGAACTGAAGTTTTCTGGAGGATTACGTCGATAGTTATAGAGACTGTTTCGAGTACTATCTTATAATTTGGGAGGGACCTTTTCTTTCAAATAATGGAGGAGTTTCACTTTATCTGGAAAGTTTCTCATTTTTCTGGAAGAAATTTCCTCTTGTATAACCGTAAATGCTAACTATAGGAAAGGAAATTACTTTCCCTACATATAGTCAACACGAAAAATTTTGCAATCCAAGATTTGACAATAATTCAAAAAATTGCCGCAGTATTTGCGTTGTCATAGCACTGCCTGTAATCATGACCCACAGTCAACGAGAACTGGTCCTGAGCAGTACTGGCTAACTTGTTTGAGGTTATTTATGGTCAACAATTTCTGGTATACCTAGCGCGTATAAACTTTGCGTAGGTATCAAGTTATGGAATGCTCTCGGAGCTGGTTCCATTTGCTGAGCCTAGACGTTAGTACGCACAGTCACTTTAGCACTCGTGACCAGAAAAGGAATGGAATGACTCAGTTTGCTTTCAATTTTGCATCTTGAGACTTTCTAAAGATCTCACTTTTCATTGCATCTTATTACCGTTGAAGCTTATTATACGGTATTGCTCTTAGGAGACAGTCGATGATGTATCTTGTTGATGACATCAATTTGTACAGAAGAGAAGCATCAAAAAAGCAGATTTTACCCATAAGTCCGATATCGAGAGGGCGTCCTGCTTCCCTAGGCATTTCTTACGTTATGGATCAATGTTTTTTCGTAATACTGGTTGTCTGCTCTTTTCCGATGAATTATCCTTAATTAGCGGGAATAACTGGATACCTTATTTTCTTTTTTTGCTAAAATCGACTACTCCAAACACGGAAGAAAAATTCACGACCAAAAAATTACATCGTGCTGCGTATTGCCTATGGGATGAAGCATAAGAATCGCTTTCCGAAACGCAGTGAAGTGGCTGAGCAGCTTGCTTAAGAATCCGAAAAAGTGCGGCTTATACACCTGAAAATGGGGTAATGATCAATAAAACGACCAACTGATTAGTCAAATTTACTAGAAAGTCTGTTGTTAAGACGATGTCGAATACCACGTTTTTATTCAGTGACACCAAAAACAATCACGTTAGCGTCCTTTGCAGTTTTTGCTTTCAATTTGGCAAGTGAATGTCACTTCTATTGAGAACTTTTTCAAATTCAAGTACTCTGTTCGCAGCACTCTCTAATTCCATGTTCCATTAAAGACGAGCATTAAGTCATCATTGAATATAGTAATTCTGTCGTTAAAATCATTTTTTTTTCGAAAATTTTTGTTTCCATGTCATGCGTTGCTGGCATCATTTCAGTGAAAGTTGGTCCGTTTCATAAAAGAATAATGACCGCAAGGATTATGAAGTGGATGCATCGGTGGTGTTCAGATTCATTCTTCTTCTCATTCTGTATCTTCGCAAGTTCCTCTATTTAGATCTTTGTCACCATTTTTTCAACTTCTCGAGAAAAAAATCATAGAATATTTTCTATCACATCGAGCTGGATAGGTGCTTTCATGTGGCCAGATTAAGCATACTCACTTATTCGGATTATCATAGCGGTATGAAGTTTAGAGAAAAATTTTTTGAAACTCATTTCTATGCTAGCGCAAACTAGGGTTAGTATGAAACTCATGCGAAGGTGTTGTGTCAACATCGGCTTTCAATATGGCATAGTGTTTGATTTGCCTCGGCCCTAAATGGTACTCGAAAAGATTAGCGCCGTCACTTAGTCGGTGACTTTCAATTCCATAGGAATTCTTGCACACAGTTCGTTTTGCCAGGTTTTCCCCACTCTTTACAAAACAAAATTTTCTTCTATGTTTTATTCTTCTGGTGAGATAAATTTGTTATCTTACCTTCTGTTCATATTCTAGCAAAATGACGCTAACCATAGTTCTGGACGTGGAGGGTATTCTCTTCAAAACCTCTCTGAGCACTTTGACTTCAGTCAAAGGCAGCTATTTTGACCGCTTGTTTCACACGGACTGGAAGGATCGGCTTGACAAAGTAAGTAAGCTCTTTACATCCATTTTGATTAAGAAAAAAATTTCTCACAGCACGGACATCTATTCATCGATCGAGACTCCACCATTTTTCCTCTTATTCTGAATTATCTTCGCGATGGTAGCATACCTCTGCCAAGGGACGAGTACTATTTGGAAAGAATACTTAGAGAAGCCAAGTAGATCAGACATCAAATTGTACAAGTAGCATCACAGGTAATCAGCTGATTCAGATTTTTCAATCTTCTTAATCTTTGCCTCGATGTCGAAAGGAGAATTGAGCAAGTAAATAACAAGAGGCATGGAGGACCACCAAGAATCAAGTGAGAACCTTATTCTAAAAGTCTTTTTTCAAATGCCCATATCAACACCATAACACCATGTTCCTCGTCAAGATCGACTCTTTGAGTAAAAAAAACTTTTGTGAAAGCCTTTAAAACAGCCAGCTCCATGAAGTATCTATCTGATTTCCAATTGGTTCGAAAACACATAAATTTCATGATTCCGAAAACGTCCTACTGTAAGCATATCCAAAACGAATTTTTTCTATTTATTGGTGCAAGAATTATGCATCAACCTAATATTTTTGACACTAAGTCAATCATCCTATATCCTTAATGGCATGACAATGTTCACATAGAACTGTGGACCCAAACTTGTTTTATAGCAGTCCCAGAAAAATTTCCTGGGTTAGGGAGGGGCTGACAGAGTGTTTGCAGTGAGGGTACGTGAAATAGCCACGTCCTTTAAGAATTTGGGATGTCTTCCAGAATTTCTGCGTTCCACACTAGAATCTGAGAAAAGCGCAACGACATATCCTTTCTCCGGATGATTTTTACAAACTCAGATTGAATTTTGATGGTATTAAAAAACTATCCAAAAAACAGTTGAAAAAAGTTTTTGTGCTGACGGCACAGGGTAAACACCAAAAAATGGGAAAAGGATACTGGATAGAGTAGAGCAGGCCTTGAGAGGTGATCATTAGGGAGCTGCACAAATTTCGAAGTGAACATTTATCTGTCAAAGTTTTTTGCATGCATGAAAATATATGGCAACGTGCTGCACTTGCATGAATTGTTTTTTTTTATTCAAGTACACATAGCGGAAACGTTAGTCCATCAATAAGCATACGATCAGAAACAACATTTGATGTAGATAGAAAACTACCACGGTCACCGCGCGGATCATTGGATGGCTCACGTAAGTAGATTGCGTCCAACTTAGCTATATTTTTATTATACTATTTCTTTAGTTCCGGAAGCACCATTGGTCCCTACACGAAGAAGAGGTAAACAGAAAAAGCTTGACTCTATAAGTTTACCCAGAAACTTTACGTAAGTGGCAAGAACAAACTTTGGCAAAAGCACATATGCTTCAATCTAGTCATGTGGCACATGTGGGTTGGAACGGAAATGGAGTAATTTTCGATGAGCGCCTTCTTGACAATCATAGTACGGTGCAGTCAATCATTGATGCAGCGAAAAAGACAGATATTGGTGTGAGTTTTCTGGAATTGTCTGCATTTATTTGAGCTACACTGACAGATGACGAAAAATGTAGCATTCAGCCTATTTATAACGTCGTCAGCAACGATAATGGAAACGATAGAAGCCACGCTGTTGAAGTCATGTTGGCCGGCTCTCTAATGCAGACCAAGGATCCACTCTACACGAAGCCGCAGAAGAAACCGGCCAGATTGCCGCCAAAGCGACCTCAGCTACCTTCTACCAATAGTCCTCGATGAATCATAGTATCGCTTGCTTGAGTCTAGTCGAAATCATTTCCACGTGCACTTGGAAGTCCAGTAATAGGCATTTTTCAGACTGTGTTGCACAAAGCTTTGAACCTCCATATATTAGGTTGATGCAAAAGTTCTTTCGCACCAAATTCAAAAATTCATAGCTTGTTAAATTCTCAACGAATTTACAAGCTCTAGGTTTTTTTTCTAAGAGACGAACTCATGCTCTTTGCAGATGTACCCGAACTGTTCGTTAACGTGTCCAAATGAAGGAGATGGAAGCTCAAAACTAAAATCACTCAAAATTTGAATTTTTCGTGTAGGGTCATAAAAAATCGGAAACTAGCAGCAAAAATCCGGGCAGCCGGTATTGTAGGTTCTTTCACCAGCTCTACCTAACAGTGCAAAGTTTGCGCCGATTGAGTGTCTCTATGAAAAGTTAAGACTTTCCCGAAAAATGCCAAAATAAATCAAATTCGCCCTTTTGTATTGCTTGCTCGAAAATCATAACTATTCAGAGACACTCAATCGGCGCAAACTTTGCACTGTTAGAAAGAGCTGGTGAAAGAACCTGCAGTACCGACTGCTCCGATTTTCGCTGCAAGTTTCCGATTTTTTATGACCCTACACGAAAAATTCAAATTTTGAGTGATTTTGGTTTTGAGCTTCTATCTTCTTCATTTGGACATGTTAAGGAACATTTCAGGAACACATGCAAAAAGCATGACTTGTAAATTCGTTGAGAATTCAACAAGTTATGAATTTTTGAATTTGGTGCGAAAGAACTTATGCATCAACTTAATAAATAAAAGTGAGTAATATTTTTCTTCGAACGTATGCTCTTTACACCGATTATCACGCGTGGACCGACTGGGCAACTTTGCACATTTGCATTCTCGGCTCCGGAAAAGATGACATTATTTGCCCTGCAACGCTGATCTCAATATGTGATCGTTATCTGCGGAACGCTTTTTCCAGAATCCCGTCTATTATTGCGCAATGGAAGCCGGCTTGATCTCTGTCAGTGCGAATATTTTTGCGTTCGTTTTACAAGCGCTAATTCTTCTCAAAAAATTTCGCAGCTAACTGCTATGGTATCGCGATTAATGTTTCAAGTCTAGCGTTCCGATGTACAACATATTTCGCAGTCCCACGGTTACCAGTCATTTGATTTTTATTCATCTATGCACTCAAAACTGCGTCAAAATTGCAGAAAAAATCGAAAGCATGCCGGCTTGATGGCACGAATCGTTCCTGTATGCGTGCTGATTGAATGCTCGATTTACTAGCGCATGTCCGCATGGTCAATTTGATCGGTTTGAGGAATCGGAGAACAAAAAGACAATGATAATCTATGTATAAATGAAACCGAAACTCTGTAAATTTGTTTGTTAGTAAGTATGTAGCTTATAGAATCTTTTGTGTGTGAACCGATGAGGCTACAGTTCGTCTCCCTATGAATAAGGCATGGCGCATAGGATAGGCTACTTGCGACGATTTGTTAGGCCCTATCGATTTATTGATTTGTTTACTTACATCGAGGGTTCTCCAACCATTGTGGATCATTTCCTCATAGTCATGTAAGTCGGGCGGTAGACATTTACATTTCTCGGCGAAAAGGATCCGGTGTCTCAAGCCAGCAAGGAAGACATGTGTTTCGTCGCAGATGTGGAGAAGAGCGGTAAGTCTCAACGCGTTTGGGATCAAGTAGTCCAATTCCCGGCGGGACCGGGGACGCCATCTAGTCGGTAATGAAAAGATGGGAAGGAGTGAAGAAAAAAGGACGTGGTTAGAAATTCTAGGGATAAAACGTCAAGCATTTAGAATAATTTGAGTGAAGGCAAATATCAGATTGACTAATAGATAATTTCGGTTTAGGCATGAAATTTTGTCATAGAAAGTTCGTGAACAAAGATCAGAAGAAATTCTCCACTAGCTGGTCTTTCCAGTCTTGCCCGGATCAAGTCTTCAAGCCGGTTCGGCATAGTATCCCTACTCATCTTGGAGCATGAGGAGAAGAAATCGTCCTTTTCTTGTACAACAACTCCGACTTTCGCCCCTCCTCCAATGTGCCTGCTCCCCCCCCCCCCCCTCCCCACGCTTCCCATCTAGTCATTATGCTGCGCTGCAAGGGGTCACTAAGTCAAAGTAACTCAACCGCTGTAAGCTCCTCTTGAATTACCGCATCATTCCCACCGTGAAAATAAAATGAACTCTACCGCTTATGCGAAATCATGGAAATGGCTTGTTAGTGGAGCGAAGGTCATTATCATATTAAAAGTCAATAAATCACTAGATTGGCCCAGCGAATCGCCGCAAAAAATAGCGCTAAACAAGAACTCGGGCGGCTATAAGTCAAAGTATTGATTCACGTAAATTTTCGCATCGTCAGGAGTTGTTGTATAGACCTAAACAGATATTAGGCTTTGGCCATACTTTGCCCGTGTTGCCGATGTTTTCAGTGTTACTCGTGTTACCGGTGTTGCCGATGTTCCAGTGTTACTCCTGTTGCCGAATTTTCCAGTGTTACTCGTGTTTCTAGTGTTACCGCCTTTATTGCTGTTGATTCTCAAAATGATCGCCAGTTCAGTTTCATTTTCTCGGTAACATTGGTAATATCGGCAACACGAGTAACACGAGTAACACTGGAAACATCGGCAACACGAGTAACACTGGTAATATCGGCAACACCGGTAACACGAGTAGCACTGGAAACACTGGCAACACGGGCAAAGTATGGCCAAAGCCTTAATCCGACGGAATCAGATCTGAGCAGTATGGCGGATGAGGTAGAAGTTGTCACCCGAATTCCTCAATTCGCTGCACGATATTTGCGACGTGTGGTCGAGCTTCGTGCAGGAATTTTATGGCCTTCGGATTTTCGCTTGACATCGCAAGGCCTTATTCACCTTTCAAGCTATCCAGCATATAAGTCTGCTGTGACTCGCCCCTGACTGGCAGCAGCTGAAAATACACCAAACCTCTAGAATTCCACCAGACGCAAAACATGGATTTTCTGCCATGTGCGTCTGGTTTGGGGATTGATTTCGGCTGCTCGTCCTTACTCGGCGCTGTCTCTCTCTGCGTTGTTTGCCGAAATACATCCATTTTGCGTCTGCAGTCAGAATGGTGTCATAAAAATGGCTCGACTGCGACATATACAGAAGTTCGGCACACAGTCGTCCTCGCCTCCTTGTTGTCATCCTAAGTTCGTGCGGCAGCCATTTCCCGCATCTGTTGGTCTTTCTTAGCGCAGGCAGGTGTTACTCTACTATTCGATAAGTGCAGCGAATACTTTCAGCAAGTCCTCTCGTCGTTCGACTTGAGTCCGCTTTCACCACTTCCTTCAGAAGGCTATCATTCAACGTCTGACGGCTCCCTCTGTGTGCGTCGTCAAGTCTTATCTCCGCATCTAAAGCGCTTGAACCAATTTGAACCTGCCTCTCACTTACTAAGCCTTCATCAAAAGGTTGGACCAAGGTCCGATAAGACACTTCTGCACTTTTTCCCCGTTTGATTGTAGAGCATGCAGAAACAGAGTGCAATTCTGATCTCGCATCTTCTAAAACTTTCAAAGCTCTGAGCGCAATTATTTCACGTACTTTCTATACCAATCTGCTCATCTTTATTTGCTCTTTAAATATCATAATAGCTTGTATATTCAACAGTAAAACAGGTTATAAGCGTGTGAAATCAACAGAAGTATTTTTTAGCCCACCTGATAGATGTTAAAAGTGAGAAGAATATGCGAACTGAGGAGAATGGAGATGATAACGAAAGCTGTGGAAAAGACGACCACTCAGGACGCGTGCAGATGAAGGAAAGTTATCCTTCCCTTGTAAAAAAACAAGCCAATCATAATCTAATCAAACATTTTTATATACTCATGTATCTAACCATAAGCAAGGAGATGAAACTCATTCATTTTTACGGTCAGCAGGATGTGACTGACGCAAGAAAACCTACGTACAAGAAGTACTGAGTGCTGCAGGGGAAAGGGTAGGACCGTTTATTTGAAGCGGAGTGCAGAGTTAGCCGTCAAAAAGGGCAAGCTGGAAGAACTGGAAGAGCTGATTGTGTTCCAAAACGGTGTATCCGATTTTGGACCTCGCAGCCAAAGCACCACAGTACATAATCTGGACGAGGTCGGGGTCGCCGGCTGGTTGTTAAATGGAATATAGCTAAAAGCGCACGTACAGGAGCTTAAAATTTTTCTTTCATAGTGCGTTGCATGACTAGCAGGTTGTCAAAATTTGAAAGACTACTTCTATGTGTGTTTTCTATATTGTTCAACTACAATGCAGTTTTATGTGTTTTATGGCTTACTTCGTCTTATGGCTTACATCGGATGAGTGATGATTCATTATTTGATACAGCTGATTATCTGGCATCTATCAAAGACGTTCTTGATTCTCAACAATTTTTGATGTGACTCAGATTTTTATGTGCTGGATTGATAAGCTGGCTGGTCACACTATCAATTTTTTTCTATTATTTACACCAGCTGACCATGCTCCTCTCACGAAAACTGATATTCAGTTTCTTTTTCTCAACTAATCAGTGCACTAAGTGAAGTTTTCCAAGTGAATTACCAGGCCAATCGAAATCTTACATCCAAACGAGTCTGTGCTGTTTTAAGCCTTGATCGCGCATTCATATTTGCAATTTCTCAAGCTGGTAGAGTATCTAACAGGCTGCACTGAGTAGTATTGTTACTGATAAATCACTGGCGCTCCTGTGCACTACTGACGGAACGATGCTACCATACTACTGTCTTATGTGATTCCTTTTGCTTTGGCCTTCTTTAAACACCATTTTATCAACGATAGAAGTCCGGTCAGCAAGCAGCGAGCTCTACCCTATTTGTGTTACTGGCTAGACTTTGTCTTTGTGTCTCTGCGTTCTATTTTTAATGGCACACCTTGAGTGCATATAATAAATAAATATCTGCTTGCTATGGTACCACAACAGCTGAACCAAGAATGCGTGAGGAAGGAAACCAAGATCTGGAAGGTTCTGAATGCCCAGAAAATTGCAAAAGATCACAGCTCTTTTCAAAAACATCCTATGGATCTTCCATCCGTACAATCTATACTATCGCTCAGACATTTTGTACAGTTGCTTTGGTGGCTGAGAAAAAACGGATTCCGTCTCCAGTCTCTTGTTAAGGAAAACACGGCAGCTGTGAGCTGTATATATGGAGTCCCCCCATAATGTGTGCGAAAGGGAAATCCAGAGGAAGTTTCTGGACAAAGATTCAACTTTTTCGACTTTTGGGCAGTAGAATCATTTAGATTTTGGCCATGTCACATCTAGTGCCGAAGCATGAGTAAAGATTACTTTGTACTATTGAGTATTTTTTGGGGTTCGCCTGGGTGCCACGGCAAGCGAATAAAAAACTAATACATTCTTGAGGACCTACTATAAGACACCTTCCAAAACCTGAAAAGTTTATAAAAGTGATTGAGTAATAATGTTATTTCTGTGCTTGACCTGTGTGCATGTGCTATGGCTGTACTGTAGAACGTAGTGCTGCGTTTGTGGAAAGAGTGCAAGTCTTTCCAACGCTTCTTGGCAATCTGCGCCTCAACTCTTATTGAAAACTAAATATTCGAACTACAAAATGCCTTGCTCTAACTAAGACTTCCACTACCGCTAAAGTTCTTTCTTGCTCTGAAGATGTATTAACAGACTTCGAGATAAACTAGTGCGAATTAGTGCATAGTGCAAATTAGTGCATTGTACCGTTTCAATTTGCGTAATGTTATAGCACCTTTTGAACAGAGTATTACTGGTGCTAGCCCATCCGGTACATGTGAAAAGGCTGCTTGTTCGCGTGAAGTCTCAGGCTCACTCCTGTTTTACCTGCAAAACGACTCTACAGCTTTAATACTTAGGCCTGATGGCCCACTGAACCGGTGCACAAGACTCATGTGACACTGTTTGCGAATGAAATCTCAAAATTTGCTTGAAGTTTGCATGGTAGTGTTATCTAATGTGTCCTACTCGAAAACCATTCACTCGTAACGGTGTCCAATCATCTGAACCAATATGCAACATTGCCGTCCCTTGCTCAAAGAAATACCGTTTGGAATGCTTTTTATTCAAACTCCACTCAACTTTCTCTCCTCCCCTACACCTCAAAAACAACTAACGAGGTTATCAGCTCTTGCTGTTGCTTCATTCGCCCAAGGCCTTCCCTTCCACTTCCATTTGTTAAGTTTATGTACAATGACTGGTAGCTCTGTCTATGATCCCGGTGAAGAATTTCTACTCAAATTTGGGATTGGTAGGAGCATTTCGCCATTCACCAATGTGCACTTGACTCAATTCAAGCTCAAACGAAAGCTTACAGAAAACACGACAGACGACAACAAATTTGCATTTCATATTATCGGTCTACCTCCTTTACACATTAATAGTGACCTTAACGGTACTATAGAAGCTTATATAACGGCAGTAGTGGGTAGGTTTCTTGTTTTATTCCAATTATAGCCTGAGTTTTCTGACCTCCCTAGTGTGCTTTTTGATCAGCAAAGTTGATTATTGCAGGGCCTGATCGCCTTTTTCTTTCTCAGACATTGGCTAATATAACAAGAATTTCAACGGCGCTCGAACTCGATCCTCCTAAGCCACTTCCACCCCAACACATAGGTAATGCTCAGTGTTGCGTGTATCACCACTCTTTGGGCTTTGGAAGATGAAGCTCGTAGAGCTTTTGAGGGTGTACGCATTAAATCCCCCGTTGAGGAGGGGAAGAAACGCAGCCTTAAAGGCAGTATCCGGGCAAAAAGTCGGTTTTGAGATTTTGTACTTACCCGGGCCTATTCGCTATGCTGAATCCGAAATTCCACACTAGAAAGCACGAAAACGGCGAAAAAGGGCTCTAACACGGAAAAGAAGTTAGCAGGTGGGCGGGGTCCTCCCCACTGTGAATTCACGCTCCCAGCTTCCAGAGCAATCTTTTTCGTTCCGATTTCAAGTCATGCATTCGCACCTGGCCGGTGGAGATTTCAGGGCGCTAGAAGAATTGGGAAGATTGTTCCAGAAGCTGGGACTGCGAAATTCACATTGGGGAGGATCCCGCCCACTTTCGATTTCCTTCCTGCGTTAGAGCACTTTTTTGCCGTTTTTGCGCTTTCCAATGTGGATTTTCGGATTCAGCATAGTGAATAGGCCCGGGTAAGCACAAAATCTCAAAATCGACTTTTTGCCCGGACACTGCCGTTAAGAACATCATATCCTAAAGCTCCAATCTTTTCTTTTGTAAATAGTCAGACAGCTCCAATAGTTTTGAGCTGTCTGACTATTTACGAGTATCGTTACGCTTTGCTTCAGATATACTGAATAGCAGCAAGAAGTTATACAAGCCGCATTACCCAACTTTTATGATTCCCTGGTAGTACCCGGCTGTCGACCGTCTTTCTTTAAAGCCATTTTTCTGTCCTCGAAGCCGATGAATCCGAAGTTGTATTGATTATCTAACGCAATAGTGTCAGGCATGATTTAAAAGTTCCGCTTTCTTTAAATGTGGGCTAATTCGCATGGCTTCTGTGCCAATAGATTTGTTAGATGTTCTCATACCTTCAGTAGTCTACAGTCAAGGCGTCAAAGTGGAGGTTGTTTGAACATCTGACCTCGTAAAAAGTGAAGGTTGTTTAAAGGAGTTCAGAAAAGAGACAAGGCGTCAAAGTGGAGGTTGTTTGAACATCTGACCTCGTAAAAAGTGAAGGTTGTTTAAAGAAGTTCAGAAAAGAAAAAACGGATAAAAACGTTGCAATGAGGTCATTTCATTTGATGGCTTTTCAAATTGTAAGTTTTCGCTCCAGGACCAGCAATTCGCAACACGGGGAAAGCGAAGAAGAGCTAATTTTTTGTGATTGTTTCAAAAAAAAAACATGTTCCGGAAGGAGTGGTTATCAGGAAGAAGATAAACAAGAAAGAAATTTAATTAGTTATGAAAACGCAAAGCTTCTTTTTTACTCAGTCGAAAAGAACGTCGAAGCCAAATTTGATTTTTGATGCGTCCTTCAAATTTTCACCCCCACATTGAGTTCCTGTTTCCTGGGACGTTATCTGGATTGTTGCGCTTATTGTTCTGAACAACAATCGCCCAAGCTGGAAAAATCGCTGTGAAAGCACTGAAGCAAAACAAGGTAAAGAAAAACGCACTTTTCACGTTTTTTCACAAAAAATTCCACCATAATCGAAGAGATAAGGGCTGGGTGGTGCATTATGAACAAAGGCAAGATCTATAGAATGCACGAAAAACCGCGTGAAAAGTGTTAAAGTAGGAGAAAAACAAGAGATTTTCGAAAACACGGTTTTTGCCGGATTTCTCGATCAAATCAAAAAAATGTGGTTTCGGGACGTTGTCAGCGTGAAAATAGAGCTCGCGAGCTTCAAAATGAATGATATATAGGTTGCTAAAATTGGGTTCGAAACAGCGAAGAAAAGGGTACCAGAGCCAAATGCCCCACACCCCGTTTGGGGTAGCGAGGTAGCGCGCAGCGCGCGGAGACGCAGACGAGCAGCGGAGACAGACCAGAGCCGACGGAGCATTTGGCTCTGGTCGTAGGTCTCCGCAACGTCTCAACGAAACCCTGCAACATCATATATCATTCAGATCGTCATAACACGACAAGGAGAAATGACAACGTCCCAAGCTTTGAAAACCACTCATTAATGAGACAAACTAGCGTTTTCTCCCAAGCTTTGAAAATCACTTATTAACGATCGTGCGCGACTCTCTGCGCAAGATTTAAGTGCAGTTTCTCGTTTTTATTTCACTCCAACAACTTTCCTAGACTTCTGAAACACGATTTTGGTCAAATAAGATGTTAACTTAGAGATGTTGTCCTGAATTCTGGCGAAAATTTCACAGAAACCTTCTTTGTAACGTAAAAAAGGCTGTGAAAGCGCAGATTCTCGGTTTCGATGAGATAACCTAAAGATACTATTTTCGTATCTGCTTCATTAACATTCGTTCCGATATAGTCAGGAATGTTGCATCCGGGGCTTCGCCCCGGAAGACTTCTGTTTTTTTTCCAAGTGAAGGTTGAAGGTTGTGTCCCCTCATAGCCTTCGAAGTGAAGTTTACCAGAGTAAGTGGCTTTATGTATCGAGGGTATGGGTGTTCTTTATCTCCAATCACTACCTAACGTTTCGACGCGTTTGTCCAGGGCCTCTGAGGACGACGAAAGGCGTCGAAACATTAGGCCGTGATTTGAGATAAAGAACACCTAACAAATCGGTATGGCACAGAAGCACTTCTACCATGCGAACTGTTAGGCATATTTCCGATGAGGAAAAATGAGTCACTTGTTTGGACTTGTGGTTCACGCAATTTTTCGATATTATTATATATTATTATATTATTATATTATATATATATTATTATTTATATTGTATTATTATATTATTATATATTATATGTATTGTATTATTTGTATAGGCCGTCCGCGCTGCGCACGGAGAGCAACGCTGTTGCGTACATTGAAGGTAGTCACGACTGGAAGAAACGCAAAGAAAAACAGGCGGCGAGAGTGCACAGCGAAAGAGGAGTGACGCGCAATACACACCTTGCGCACTCTCCGCGCTCTGCGCGGACGGCCTATATTATTATATTATTATATATTATTATTTTATTATATTCGAATTCGATACATCATTTTCTCTTATCAGAAACATGCTTAGCATTATTGGATAGGGTTGGATCGTCAATTAAACTTTGTAGTGTTTTTCTTTACTTCGAAGAGAGAAAGATTTCGGAAAGACAGTCGAATGTCGGGGGATACATAAAAAAATTAAAAATGCGGCTTGTAGTGCTTCCCGCACCTGTTCAATATGTTTATAGTGGGTAGTTAATTACGAAGTTTTTTTGAGCCGCGTTTTTCCCAACGAGGATTTTCCATGTGGCTGAAAGTGAGCAATGAGATTCATTACAGAAAGATTTGCTATGGTCAGACTACCAGATTACAAAGGCACAATGACCTGGATGAGGGCCCTGGTAATCGAGCGAACAGAAACATTTGCGGAGGTTTAACATAAAAACAAAATGCTGTTTGGTGATTAAAGCATTGCAGCTTTTTACGATTGACATCGGTAACATTTACGCAGTGCCCCTGAACAGCTTATACAAGATGTCAAGATATTACGTCCCTATAGCACGTGAGTAATTAGTTCATTGGGAAGTACTGCAACGGAGAGAAGTTTCTTATAGCTCAAGCCTTTCCAGTGCGATTTACCAACATGACAGAGTACTTCTTTTTGAGAGATTTCAAAAAACTACTCTGGGCGAAGGTCAACGTGAAAATTTGTGAGCATTCAAAGCTTGACATAATTGATGCTTCACGCAATTATTTGAAGATTCCTATGACAACGTCAGCTTTCTTAGCGATACTCTGGAAATGCGTTCGAGCACCGATGAACAGTTCGATCTGAGCAGTGCTAGGAATGCACTTCTAAAAGAGTAAGAAATTATGTACTTATATGAGTCGTTTGCTTATCATGTATTTTGTGACTAAGAAACTTGAAACCGCCTTCCAGACATTGTCAAAACAAGACTGCGTGTGGTTATATTACGTCAGGTTCATATTGTGATCTAGATATTAATCTAGGATCATTTGTTTGGAAACTGGAAAGAACGAGTACAAGCTTGATTAGACATAGTGTGCAAAGCGGTTTTGACTGTCTCGCTCAGAATAAATGATATTATAAGCAGGTTTGCTGTAAGATAGTTATCGATACTATTGCAGTAATGACTTCACGTTTGGAGCTGCTCAGGAAACCGTCAACCAAAATGATATAATTTGTAAGTTTCTTCGTACGCTGAGAATATACAAATTGACTCGATCTAGCAATCCCCGCTGTTGTGATATTCGCTCTTGGTTTAGCATTAGCAATAATAGCTGCAGTTTTTTCGACAGTTCTTATCATTGATGTCGTGCAGAAGTATAACAAGAGACAGAAAGAAAATGAAAATAAATGATTCATTTCCTCAGAAATCGAGTTATCGTAAAGCGCAAGTTTACTATATCAAATCAAGCTTCATTTGAAACTTGGAAGCAATAAACTTTTATCATATTTTTTTAACATAAAGGTGTTCACTAAATCTATATCTACGAGTGTATTTACGAGTTGTGGTTCAACAAAGAGAGCATTGTTTTTCCTTGAAAGCATCAAAACTTCAAACAAAGTGACCTGCTGAATTCTTTGAATGGTCATGATAATGCATACAGCAATGCTGTTACTATAGGTGGTGTGCACTGGAAATTATTCGTTTTGAGTGGAGGAGCAGTAGTTGCTTGAAACAGTAATTACGGTAATTATGAGAGAATTGCGAGAAGAAAAAACCCTAGGAACGTTATTTCAAACTCAGTACTCTCTCAAATTAAATTTTTTTTACATTTTCAGTCTCTTTGAGAAGAAGGTGGAGAACACGGTGCAATACTTTGTTGTTGCCCTACGAATCTTTGGGTCGCATCCAAAACGGTTTTACTTTTTCTTTCTCACAGCAGACTGCGATTTACCAAGAAAGCCCTATCAGTATTCTGAGATATCATTGTAGCTATGCTGACGCATAAAACTAGGTTTCCTTCTGAGCACAAAAAAGTAGAAAGGAAGCAAAGCTCAGGAGCCCTCTTAAAACTGTCTCGCAACCTACGCCAAACTAGACTTTCACAAATCGCGATCAATCAGAATGACGGCTAAGCACGAGGTGATCAAGGTTTTTGAGAAGAAAATTCCTCCTCCTCTCCCCCCTCCCCCCCCCCCTCCTTAACTTCGTGAACATAACACGCCGTGTCCCTTGAGGCATCGAAAATCAGTACAAGTTTTGATAAAAATAGAACAGCAAGAAAACGCTGAACACTCAGAGAACGAAGTAAGTGACATTCTTATTCTCCAGATGAACTTGTGTGCTCGGCGAACACCGCCGCACGCCTGGAGCAGTTTCCCGCCCCATTCTTGCTGTAATGGAGCTAAGCGGAGAGGGATTGAAGTGGTTGAAAAATGGTTTCATAGGCTCTACGATTTAGGTGAGAGATGTGCGAAAAGTTTAGACTAGAGGAAAAAGAGAAGATTTATGATTTCGTTCAATGTGAGCCAAAGTGGCTTCAAGCCACCCAACTTTGGAAAATGTGGTGTCCAGGAGCTACTTCTTCAATTCATAACTTCTTTCACATTGTGTCAACTTCCCGTTGCGCAGATAGCCACCAGATTTTTCGCAATAATATTGCTGTAAACAAGCCAGTTGTTAGATTGCGTACAAAATTTTGCAATGTCCATCTCTGAAGAGGCTCGAAATTGGCACTTCTGCAGAGAGTAGGGCCCGTAGTAAATCTCCCCTCAGCACAACTAACCGAATAACAAAATTCTTTTGTGCTGCATGTGGATATCTCCTTTCATATAACAAATGGTAACTATGATTAAAAGATACCCACTCTGTAATGTAAATAAACTTTCGGAGGATGTAAGAATGAGGGACAGAAAAGCAAGCAATCGCAGTAATAAGCTCAGCTGCTGAAGACAAAATTCTCAATGAAGAAAGGAAGCCATTCAAAAGGTGCGGAAGGTAACGAAAAGTCGAAAGAAAAAGAACTTTTCCAAACTAGCGACCATACTGTCGCTAGCAAGTAGGTAAGAGTATATTTATGATGCCTAGGTTAGAAAACAAATTATGGCAGCTTGTTTGAAAGGAGTTTTGCAGTAAACGCAAATAGTTTCGATAGATAAAGGAACTCCATGCTCAGAAAGTTCTCATAAAGATAGTACAAGGCCATCGACCTGTACTAAACAAAATAAGAGCAATTTTACATCAAGCCAATCGTTTTCGTTTTCACAACCCCCGCAAGATTTTAATTTTCCGAAAATTTCAAAAGATTTCTCCAAACGGTGTTTCACATCATACAGATAGAATATCAATCAAAGTACTGCACAAAAAAGGAGGCAATTTCCAATCGCAAAACGCTGCTGAATAGACTTAAGTTGAGGAATGAAGTTCCCTCAAATCATGCGAAAAAGTTCATGGAATTCTTGAGTACTTCTCCTTTATGTGGACCCATTTCTTCAGCTAATTGGTTAGGCGCGTATTTCATTCAAAATGCATTTACACGACATTTGGCGAGTTTCCGGCTACATAAAAAAGATAAAGGTTTTTTCAACTCCATTTCAAAGAATTTTCTAGGCCAAACTCCTCAACATCCTACCGGAAAAGTTTCTACCCTCAAGATAATGCCTCCCATCATGGAGAATCAACGAAAATAAACATCATATCCTCATAGGCCCTTGGAGCTTAAAAACGTTAAATAAGAACTGCCCTACGATCCTACAACACACTGACTTTTGATGCATAAACTGGTACCTCATTTTTTAAAGATACTTACAAGCAAGGCACCATATTCTTAGAGCAAACTCACGTTAATGCAAAGTAGTACTTCAGACTTTTGAAAGATTTCTCAAAATGCCCTAAGTGCCGCTTACAGCTGCAGCTTTTATTAGCAAGATGCCCTATGATTTCAGAGAAAACTCACTTAAAGCTCAAAATACTATCACAACTATCATTGAGAAATTTCTCAGAAGCTCTGAGCGCTGCTTAATAAACCGTGCTTTACAAAAAGGTTCTGTTTGATGCTAGAGAAAACTCACTCTAAACGCTCAAAATAATGTCACTGAAGAACCTCTCAATATTCCTCAAAATGCTCTCGCTTACAGTCCCTTTATAGAGCTGTGTCACGATTCTACGAATTGCCTCACTTTCAACTTATAAATAATGCATTTTGGCACTCAGTCATATGATCAGCTTCCAGATTCATGTGGAGGGTTGCGGACTCCTCTGATTTCAAGGATAAGCCTAAGGAGGGATTACGAACTACAATGCTATAAGGCGGAGTTTCAAAAAGTTTATCCTGAAAATTAGAGAAGTCCGCAATCCGCCTCCTCACGAATCTGGGAGCCGTTGATACTTGAATAATAATCTTTAATCTTTAATGGGGTCAGGTCAGCTAGCCTTACCGGCGGGCTCGTTGACACCCAAAAACGGGGCATCTTTGATTTTAGAGTATGCAAGATTCACGTGATTGTTTTTGATCAATTTACTTTCGTTCAACTTTACAAGCTGGGTCTAGAGCTTCGAGTTCTGTTTCATTCCGTATTTTCTTTTATTCTCTTGCGGCTGAGGACTAACTGGTCTCATTGTTTGTTTGGATCTTCTTTTATTTCTTTGCTCTGGTGCATCTCGTGTATTTATAGAATAAAAATAAAAATAAAATAATTCAAGGAAGTGCGATTAGATCACTACAACAGGTTGACAAACGAGTAAAACATATTCATTTCAAGAACACGAACTGGCACGATGCCTGGAGATCCAAAACCAGTAAAAGATTTCGTAATCAACCCAAGGACAAAGATCAGTAATTTCGACGCGATACAAAGGGACAACAGATTTCTTCGTCTGCTAATTCCTGCCTTGACAGGATCCGAAATTTGGCATTGTCCCAATAACTAGGACAAAGATCAAATTCATTAACGAGCGAAAGGGCAAAAATGTCTCGCTTGTGGCGGCGTGGTAGGAGTTCCCAAAGCCTCGCCGACTTTCCTTGCAGGAGTGATTAGCACCTTCAGAGAAACCTGGAAGGGACATCACACCTCCACAGGTCTAGGAACAGCTCCGCCTTTTTTTCCGCCTTCTAAGTGCGCTCATTCCAGATTGCGCAAGCGCGGTGGAATCTTTGTATTTATAGAAAGTGAGGACCTAAATCAAGCTGATTCAAGTTTCGTTAATTAGATTCAATTCTTTCAAACATTAGAAACAGCGAATGAGTGCAGATAGATTTACAAAATCTTGGTTACCAATGTTAGTTATGTCTTAAAGAAAAGTAAAGCAACACTTTCTTCGCCACCTTTACCTGCTCCCTTTGAACTCTTTTGTTATGCTGTTATAGATGACTATCTTGTGTCAAGCGCTCGAATCTCCGGACAAGAGAACGTGTCTAACAAGCGTCCAAGTACAAACACCTTAGCATATAAACAGCGTATTAGAGTGAAGGAAACCGAAAACTTGTTAAAAAATAATTTGTTTCTAATGTCGAATCTACGAAAAGTAGATTTCTAGCCTTCGATAGGTACAGTCATTTGGGAAGTCGAACGCTGAATGCCCTAAGCCAGCATCTAAATTGGCCACCTAATATGTAAATTTCGAAATTTTCTAGTAGTATGACCGATTTTATCAAGAAAATGCGCTAGTGATCAACTTTCATTCATATACCTGAGCAGCCAATTTTTCCTTCCAAACAATTAAATTTTCAAATCGAACAATCCAGAGAGTGCAGCGTATTTCTAGAGATAATTTTTTATATGTGAACTAGTAACCGTCAATTTTAAAAAATGGGCGCTGCATTCATACTAAAGTCTTGATGCTAGCTTGAATAAAGCGCACTTATTACTGAAGTTTGTAGTCATTGAAAATCACATGCTC